GGAAAGACTGAACAAGAGGCAGCATCTCCCAGTGGTTCCTCCATCCAGGGAGCCTGGTTCCTGGGGGGCAGGGGGAGTGCAACAGTAGTGAGATTGTTGCTTTCTTTTTTTTTTTTTTGAGTTTTTGCTATAGTGTGCATGTGCTCACCACAGAGACAGAGAGAGAGACAGAGACAGAAAGTGAGAAATCACCCCCTGGGGGGATGGCCACGCCGCAATCCCTTCTCCTCCATTCTCCTCTTGGGATCTTGGGCACGCACGCATACGCGCCCGGTGTGAGTTTTAAGCCACTGGGTCCGGGACACGAACTGCAGTCAACTACATGGGAGTCCAGCAACATAGCCATTACGCTAACTGCTGGTCCCTCTTCTTGGGCATTTGAGCATGCACACACATGCACCCAGCGTGAGTTTCAAGCTTCCAGGTCTGGGACTTGAACCGCAGTTGATTATGTGGGAGTCCAGCAAAGTAACCATTATGCCATCTGCTGGTCCCAGTGGAGACTGCTACTTTTAAAGTGCCAGGGACCAGAATAGTGGCTGATGACAACCACTCTGAGCCCTGTTCTCACCTAAATGCCCTGGGAAGTCCAAAATATTTTTTTGTAGCAAGAAGAGAGTCCTGGAATCTGACCTTACTGAAGGAACAGGAGGCCCCTGTCTTTGAGTTTCAGAGCGAGAAGCCCATGGACACTTCTGCTCTCCCTTCCTCCCATCCAAAACAGAATCACATACTCCAGCCTTCCCTGGCCTTCCTCTTCAGGCAAGGAATGACTGGAATAACTTTATGAGGGAGTTCTGAGAGAAGACAGGACCAGCAGCCTTGGTGAGCTTGCATGCTGCCAGGAGAGGTCGTTTCATTTCCTTGTTCTGCCAGGTGCAGAGGCGCTATCAGACTAGAACCACTTCATGTTAACATCCTGACTTGGAGTTTCAGACTACTTCGGTTGTATAAATTAAACTTCAAAACCATGTGTGGGCAAAATGAATCATTTTTCTACCCAAAGACCAAAGGAAGCAGACACTTGTCACTTTTCCTTTACCTGGGCATCTTTTTCTGGTTGGCATAAGCTTTCAAGAGCCCTCATAATCATGCAATACCTTGATTATCTCATCTTGCACAGCTTAAGGCCTTGGCACTTGTCCCCACACATCAGACACTCAAACCTCTTGATCACCAAATATCCCAAAGCAGAGTTGGGGACTAATACCAGCATCACTTCACTATGCTTAGTGTCTGTTTCTTTCGCCTGCTTTCTTGTAAGCTCAGTAAAGAATATATGCTATATTTGGGGGTCAGCAGGTGGTATGGTGGGTAAGGCACTGGATTCCCATGTGGCTAATCATGGACTGAGTCTTGGACACGGCAGCTTGAAACTCATGCAAGGCATGTGTGCATGCGTGCCCAAAGTCCTGAGAGGAGAGTAGAGGAGAAGGGATTGTGGCATGGACATTCCCCTCGGGAGGGGGGGAAGGAAGAGGAGGTTGATTTCTCACTGTCCCTCTCTCCGTCTCTCTCTGGTGAGCTTGCTCACCCTATTGAAAATAAAAAATAATATATGCTATATTTTATGTATCGCTTCTAGGAGGTTTATATTAATAGGTTTTTCAGGATATCTATCAATTATAATGACAGAAACAAAAGTTCACTGGCTTATTTTCTTCCTACCAGTCATCAATGAGTAATGGGCATTTTTTCTGACTTTCTCCAAGTCAAGGTCAATGGTTTTGTGGTTTGGACAGGGATACTATCCAATTAACAGGCACACATAACTTAAAGAGAAATCCTCTTCATATCCAAAAAGCTTCTGCTTTAAAAAAAAAAAAAAATCCTTTTACTTTAACAGGCCTTAAAATTTCCTGGATTACTCAAAACGTTCATAAATGTGGAGAGTTTCCAACTTGAGCATTCCAGGAAATGTAATTAGAAAGGGCAAACGCTGGAGTCATTTAAAATGATCCAGGTGAGCCTCAGGTGAATTTCATGCTCTTTCAGTGTTAGAATACGCTTACTGAAAGCTTCCATTCCTTTTTTTTTTTTAATCAACAAACCAGCTGGGTTAGAAAAATTAAAATGTAGACTTGCTCCACCCCCATTTTTTTTTTCCTTAGTGAATCTCACTTTGAGGTTAAATTTTGGAAAGAGATTATTATTAGTTTGGAGAAATTGTGATCAGTTGAACTTGCTAGTTTAGCAACATATTTCTAGACAGAGGAAAAAGATTGTGCAGTTTTCCTGTAATCTCCAACCCCTACATGAAATGCTTTATTTCCCAATATTGCTTTGAAATCAAAACTTCTGTGTTAAAGGCCTTTTCTTTTTTTTATAATTATTTATTTAATTTTATTTATTCATTCATTTTAATTTGACCAGAGAGAGATACACGGAGAGAGAGAGAGGGAAAGTGAGAAAGCAAGCCACCAGGTCCGGTATTCGAACCACAGTTAGCCATGTGTGAGTGTCCAGCACCTTAGCCACCACGCCACCTGCTGGTCCCCTAAAGGCCTTTTCTTAATGGTGAATAAGAGAACAAGTTTAAACAAGTAGTCAAAAAAATAGATTTTATGGACCAGCAGGTGGCGTGGTGGTTAAGGTGCTGGATACTCTCACATGGCAGACCATGGTTCAAGTCCTGGACCTTGTGGCTTTTTTTTTCCTTTCCCCTCTT